GTGGAACCATCAGAAAGCTTTAGTTCCGAGCATAACCATGGTCTTATTTATTTCGAAATCTGTCAACTAATAGCAGAGTTATAGACTAATAAATGCCATTTTTTAAACAGCCAGTTTAGAGCCAGAAAGTGGATTCAGACTGCAACAACATTATGCAAATTAGCTAGACGTATCTAGGTTAGTAGCACACGTATGTGGGTTAGTAGGTTTGCTCTGTCAAGGCTGCGCATGTATCAATATATAAGCAGATCTCGGCCGTTTCAGCATACTTCATACAGGTATGAATCGTTACGTGTAGTTTCATGCAGATTGAAAAATGTTGATACATATTTGATCATTTCCATTTACTAGTATTAAGCCTCAATTCGTAATTATATTACAGCGGAAATATTACATTTTGCGTCTGAAAACCTACTTACTTCAACCTGAGACTAACATAAACAGATAAAAGGAATTTTAAACTTTATCCGAGAGTTGTATCTCCCGTGTCGCGCTACCCGCAATTAGATATGTATAGTCTCAGCTTCAACATAGGAGGAGGAATGACATGTACATCAAACAAACTGCATTCAAATACATACAGTGATAAACTCATAATTATAAAGAAATTCTTGAAACCTTTATTGCAATTGCAAATGCGCAAAGAAGACTTTATTTCATGTATTTGGTTCCGTAATACTTGTCAAACTATATGCCTTCATGCACATTAGACTGACAAGAACGTTTTTATAGCGATCTACCACGGGCAATAGATCTACTACTAAGTTTTGTTTTTTCGTGGATAATGACAAATATTCTACCATTTCCCTTTCCTTCCCATTTCCCAAGGAAAAATCTTTTTTAACTGAATCTTTCACAGATTTCATATCGCAAATAAACAGTATCGCATAATATAATCGACAATATGTTTTGATTAAATATACTGGCCATACTAACTGACTAATAATTGATAGATCTTGTTGATGCTACTTGTAGGTTCAGTCTATTTTCGTAATTAAAAATCAGTGATTTAAATGCTAAACCTAATTTTGAATATTGTTTTTCCAAAGTAAAATCGGTTGTCTCAGTGCGTTTGAGATATCAAACATCATACTTTCAATAGAAATAAAAATGTATTTCAAAGATCGGTGTTTCAGTCTTAAGCGCAGTATTGATTATATTTAAGTATTGCACTACGTTCGAGCCTAGAAAGTATAAAAATGACTTTTTAATTTAAACCAGCGTAAAATTGAATTTCGAATTATAATATTTGCTTGAGTCGTGTTAATAGACCTTCCAGAGCTGTTGTATTTGGGCGATAATAAAAAATAAATACTCTTTATAAAATTGACGCACGATACGGCAATTGCCGTATTATGCTTTAATAGCGCTGAGTTGCTAGACATGCGCGTTTGGAATTAAAATAAGACGATACGGCAATTGCCGTATCGTCGTTCAATTGCAATATGATACGGCAATTGAGCCCATCGTCTCCACTGTACATACGATGCAGATCATGATTTACCCACTAGTTTCCCAGTTTATAACTGCCTGTTGTCCTGCCAATAATATGTGAAACTTTTACAAGATAATAGTTTGCACGTCAATTGCCGTGCAAAATATTGCACGTCACTTGACGGACATGACGGCAATTGCCGTTATTATCTATTGACATGCGCACTTATGCTTCATAATTTTACGTCAATTGTCGTGCAATATGGCAATTGCAGTACTTCACGTTAAATGGGGTTATCGTCTCCACTGTTGAATCAACATTTTTTAATTCTCAAATCTTCTGATTTCATTTCCAATTTTATAAAACTGTGCCTGTCTGTATTTTGAGTTAAAAATCTTGTGTTATTTCAAAAAACTTCCCAATTTCTACATATAAGAAATCCCTGTTTTTTATATGCAAATGAATGGTAGGTATGGGCTAAGAATTTCTGTAAAAACTGTGTCCTGTTGGCCTTAATAAACTGCCTCCTTGCAGTATTATCAGCTTTTATCAAAGTGACAGCTTATAATTAGATTAAATGACTTCAATTATTCTTTCTCCTTAGTCACATTACTTGTAATAAGAAAAATAGTTTCTTTATAAGGTATGTCTAGCCTTGTAAAGCGCTCTATTCTCCATTAAGGTTCTTTTTCGTTAATTTAAGACCTCTTATATTTTATAATAAACCCAACATAGCTCTGTGGTGTTAATGTAATTCCTATTTCTTATAAATAAAATATGGGATGTAGTGAATCATTTACATTGTATATCTAATGTTTTTCCCCCATTTTTGACCTTTTATGCCGTATGTGTAAGCTCCCCCAGTGATCCTGAAAGGCTCTTCATGGAGGTAACAGAAATATATTGCCTCTGTCAACCAGTAACAAGTCTCAATTATCTACCCATATTATTACTCAGTACCATGTAAATTATATTAACATACATCCTGTACCCACATTTATCAATTGGCCTACTTGCACCAATAGTCTAGCTGTCTGTTCATAGCTATTATATATTGTACTCCAGTGAGTAATGATGATTTGCGGTAAAAATGTTCATTTTGGACAACGTTTTAACTTGTTTTTTATTAGAATTTATCAGAACTGAGCTATTTACGAAATGGTGGATGTTTTTCACTTTCACCCATAGCTCTGGCATTTTTTAGATTTGTGAGAAAATTTAAGTACACTAATTGGTGCATTGTTGGTGATTTAATGCACTCTTGCTTTGTAAAAAAAATCAGTAAAATCATGAACATACAGGTTATACATGTATTAAAAATTTTGTTAATACATTTTACATTTTGGTGTTAAGATCTGGAAATCTTTTTACTATTGACGTTTTTCCATATAAATGGAAAATAGATGGCATAATGGATATGGTAGGGCTAGGGTAGGGCTAAAATACATGTAAATACATTGCTAGAGTCACTTAATTTCTTAATATAAGAAGTAATTCCATTTGGATCAACTTAAAACATCATTGGAATGTTAACTATATGATCTTATTGACATGTGGATTGTGATTTCACGTTAAAATTGCGATCCTTGTAAGAGTAAATGAACTTTTAAAGTTTTTTCAGCATTGTGTCAATGGGGATATAGCCCAACCTTTTTCTAGACAACTAGAAAATCATGAGAATTTGAATAAAGGTAAATAATGGAGCAAATCAAAGTTGTTTTGATAGAAAATAACACACAGAATTCAAATATGCCATCAATAGAAGAAAAAGTTAGTCTGTAATGGTTAAAGGGACAGCATCTTTTCCATTCAATTGATGTTGGGCCATGCAGCCGAAGGTAGCCATGCAACCAAATTTTGCCGATTCAATCTGACGGAGAATGCTGAGCCTCTCTTTTTGACCAATTGGAGACGCCCTCTTCGCATTTGTTGTACGCTTGGCCAAATTCGTTTGCAAATAAAATCTTCGGCAGTCTCTGGCTTTTCTTGAGATATCTTCGGTTGCAAGCCAAAAGTCGACACCCAATGGTTAAAATACAGATCTCCTAAAATCTCATTAAAAACAAGATGTTAACGAAATTTTAAAGCTATATGGAAAAAGGGCCATTATTTCAATGCTAGATATTTCATCATGAGAATTAGCAATGAATGTTATTTGATAACATTATGTATGGTGTTTATCACAATTTTATGATAAACAATAAACATGTTGTTCATGTTCAGACGTAAATTATCTTATTAGTCATATGTTATGCTAAAGTAATTTGCAAAGATAAATGGATAATGATGGTTAGAATTTATATAATGCTGATAAAAATACAATATGTTAAATCATGGTGATTGAGGATTGTTTGTATGGCTATATGAATCACCACTACTATTTCAATCCTCTAAAATTAGTCTTAATACAGTATTTTAATTGATCAGGTGATATGGGTACAACTTATATGATGCTGACAAATATGATAGACTTCTACAATGCTGAAGATGTTGTAGAACCTTTTATTATGCCTCGATCGGAATTCCCATTTTTGCGAAAGTACTATAAGGATTTTAGTAAATATGGCAGCTACATGTACTTGTTCGTTGGGATTTGTTACACTTTGGCATTGCTGTTATCTTGTTATAGATTATATTGATATAAATAAATTGAGTAAATAATAATAAAAAAAAAATTAGTCTTATACAGTATCCAGATTACTCAGATCCCAGGGAACATATTTTCTAGAAGCCGGAACAAATCTCCATGTTCAATGTCATTTTATGTCAATTAATAGAAGAGTTAGAAAGTTATGTATACTTATGAAGCAAACCAGATCAGTGATGACATGTGTGCGCATTGAAGTTCACATCTATCACATTAACACATTCTGTTAATTTTGTGTGGAGGATTTCTAGGGGCTCAAATTTGATCACATTTACGTTATATTAATTATGTGAAGCTTAACCTCTCTTATAAATGAATAATACAATATGTTTAATGTTCACCAGTGTTTGAGGTTTGCATCAATATATGAATCACCAGCACCATTTCAATTCACTAATTTAAAAATTAGTTTTATAAAATTAGTATCCTGAGTTTATTCAAATCCCTTTTCAAGCAAACAGAACATTTTCCATGTTCTATGTCAATGTTAATTAATCATATAAGAGTTAACATGAATTGTTCATTCACTTATGAACATTTTGAATTAAAGAGACAAAGCAGAATAATGTTCAGTGGATGTAGCTTAACACATTGCCCTTCCAGACAAAACTTCCATCTTTCGTTGTATATATATATGTGAAGAAATGAAAATGATTAACAAATCAGACAATAGGAATGTTCCATTTTTAGGAATTTTTTCTGATCAAGTTTGTACCGTGTCAGATACTTTTTCAGAGGGAGTGTCTAAACATTGAGGGTTTTGCTGAAATTTCTCTTGCTTGGTGTTCAGGAGACAGACTGGGTAATTTACAAACTAAATAAGAAAAAACTAAAAGTGGAACACCATATTGGACCACTCTGTACATGTATCTTTTAGATTACATGAATTAATTTAAGTTTTGTTTTTGTATTTTTCAGTGGATGTACATTGTACCAGTATTCATCTTCATGATGGTAGCATCCAACGCAGAGCAACCCTCAGGTGGCGGGAAATAATTAGACAACACGACACAATACCTGAATAGGATATCTGCAGAAGTAGAAAGTAATTAAAGTCAAGGTCTATTTTTCAACACAAATGAGAAACTCTGAAAACAAATCAATTAGTTGCATGAATTAGGCTCTGTCATTTTGTTAACCTTGACTGAAATGCTATGAGTTATTAAGAAAAATGTAAGAGTACAACTAAAACGTTTTGAAAACATTTGCCTTTCTTGGTGCATAATGAAGAATTCATGGTAAATAAGCCAAGATCGTAACACATATTCGTAGAGCCTACGCTTCTAAGAAAATAATGTTATGGTTATTAGGCTAATATGAGAATGAATGGATTATGGACTCACCTGACGCTAGATTGTCTCACATTGTTATCAAATTAATTAAATTGATGTTTTATATGTCAAAGCCCTCAAGTGTAAAAGCACAGGAAACTCACCTACTATAATGGCTAAATGACTGCGTCCTCTTTGATTAAAAAGGAGTAATAAGATTTCTTGAGACTGTTGATTCACCTTTGAGGCATTTTAATGTCACCACCAGAAGTGGTGACATTTTGTTATGTCACCACCAGAAGTGGTGACATTTTCTTATGTCACCACCAGAAGCTGTGACATTTTGTTATTTGTCACCACCAGATGTGTTGACATTTTGTTATGTCACCACCAAAAGTGATGTCATTTTGCCATAGCCTCAAACTTTTTTGTGTTGTTTGGTGTTTGGCATCTGTAAGAAATGGCAGGTGGTGACATTTTGCATGTTAATGCGTTGTATTTGCATCATTGCTACAAAGAAATCAATATGGTGACTTTGAACTTGTGGTATAAGATTTTGTTCAGTTAGAGCATGCCACAAAGGTACATGTAGGAATTCAAAGAAAAGAGAAAGAGGGTCGGAATAACCCCAGAGTTCAGAGACGACATGTACCTCTGTTATGTAAATGTTTATTGAGATGACATTGTTGGTGATTGGTCAAATTGACAGATGAACAATGGCGGTTTCATAATTTTCTAAATACGCTTTGAATAAAATAATGATAATTTCTGGTGTGTTACTTAATATAATAACTTCTTATTTTCATCAAGATAAAGGAATACATGCTAACATTGATTAAAACATCACAACAACGTATTGTGTTTGTAAACAAGCCAGTAAAAATTCTGTCAAATGAAGGTGGTTTACAAGCAAGAGACGTTATTGTGTCTGTCATCTCTAAGCCTAAAACTCTTGGGCCTTCCCTCCTCTTGAAAATAGTTGCTGAATTCACTTTGTAGTTTCAACTTGTCATCTTCCATACCCACAATTTGCAAACCCAACCCTCCCAACCTCATAAAGAATCAATCACTTTATATATTCTTCAGAGAGATAGATATGTCAATGCATCAATGATATTGTATTATAATAGAGGATATATCATTACATATGATGACAGTTATGATATGCATAATGGAAACAAATTTAGAAATAAGTTTAAAGAGCGATCAATCACTCTGTTTTAATTCTAAGTAAATAATGTATTGTTTCATAGAGCTATTCTCATACCAGAAGACTCAAGGTGTATCTACATATTATGTATCAACATTAATTTATACAGAATATTTACCTGGAGAATTTGTAATTATGATTTTCTGAATGTTTTGCAATTTTAGGTGTAATTTGATGTAATAGTTTTTTATAGTTTATTATGCATACTTACTGCATATAATATGTTAGCATACATGTTAATATCACTGTCTGTAGTATTGTAAAGAAAAAAGCCATTTCAATGAGTTTAATTTGACAACCCTAAATATAGATGGCGTAGAATTCAACAGATTTAATTGTACATGTACACATTGACATGTAAAAAATGTCAAAATATCCAAATCAAACTTCTTCAATAAAAAACTAGATCGTGAAAAGAACAACCAATGCATGACAACACTACATGCACTGCCATCTATATACAGCAGTCTACAAACTTACCCATTGTAATGCGAATGTAAATAATTGACACCTGATGTATCAATTCCCCGATCTCAAACATCAAATTAGTTTTAGGATTAACACTAATGATTCACTCAAACATTCCTCTATTTCCTGGAAGGTATAGTGACCTACTGAAGGTTATGGTGAGCTAGACAATGAATATAATCTTATTGATTAAAGCTAATGCAGTGTCATTTTGATTAATGCAGATCTATCATCTCTGAAACAGTTTTTCGTATCAGCCTAAAAGGACTGGATATCTTGTCTTGCTAATTTCATCATTGGTTAAAGTTGCACAGCTTTGTAACGCTAACCATTATTTGTTGTCAGCTGCTGACATTTTTGGTAATTTGACCAAACAGATTATTGAAAATTATTAGAGTATAGCTAATGAAATGGTGAGACTTTTAAGTCTGAAATTTGGAGATTTGGATTTAAAGCTTTTGGTTTCTAAGAAGTGACTGCAGTGAAAGTGATAATTCTCATACCATTTTACGTTTTACTCTTCATAAATATAATATCTTTTGGGTCAAACAATTTTTTGTATCTGAAATATATTCCTTGTAAAAGATGAATTTTAAGTTTAATTAAAATTGAATTCCAAAGTGACCTCGGCACTGCTGAATATTGTAGTGTATAATACAGGGTGGCCGGGAAGTAAAGAAACAAATAGAGATTTAGGAGAATTTAAGAAATTGGTACAGATTGTAGACGTAGAGGAACATAATTACAATAATCTACCTTGACTTTCATGACATGTAGTCTAAATGTATTAAAGTTATGGTTGCCATAGTTACATTAGTGAGGGGTGTGCCAAGCAGTTCCAGAACATTGCAAAAATGTTATAAATTGGAAATGTAACCATTTGAAGCAGTGTTATTATTGTATTTTCAACGTATCAATGTTTGTTTTGCTCTGTATTGTATTATTCATGTTATTGTTGACATGGTGTTCTCTTTTGTATAATTGTGTCATTGATACATATCAAAATAATGTAACTTCACTGGCCAGTATTCTTATAGAAATATTATACAAATGCTTAGAAAAAGTCCCTGGATTAATCGGAAAGTCGATATTGCACCTCCTCAATGTTCCAATTCACGAAGCAAAGAAAACAAACCTTACAACATTTGTACAATGGAGTGTCTTCACATTCAACCTTTTTGTACAATGCCCCATATTCACCTCATGAAGCAACTTAAGACTTCTACCTTAAATGAACATCTGAAAGCAATATTTGTTCAACATACAAATGAGACTTGGCTGCAAGCTACTAGTAATTTCACAGAGGGAGATGAACAGCAGATGGACGGTTTTGTCAGGTCTTTGAATCTTCGGTCAAGATGCATCACGAATACTGTAGATTGGGTTAATTTGGCGATTTTGCCATTTTTGGCATATTGGCGGCTATTTAATTTGGCGGATATGCAAAAAAAAATTTAATTAACTTACGCATTGTTTGCGAATTTTATGTTAATTTTTTCTTTTGAGGACCACTGGCAATATTCACCACGTTTGTACATTTTTGTGAGATCATCCTTTACATTTTGCACCTCGATTGATGCTGCTACTATACTGCACTTTTCCTTTCTAGTTTTTCCCTGAGTATTAATAAGTGACTGACCAGTTCTGAGCCAATTTATGAGAGACATTTTTTCATATTTTTGGAAAAAACTAAACCGGAAGTGACCTAAATACACTCGACGAAATACCCTAGATAATTCCCGGGGATTCATTCTAAATTTTGGCGAAGATTTATATTGGCGAATTTTTCAATTTCGCCAAATTCGCCAAATTAAAGCGGGCGCCAAATTAACCCAATCTACAGTATATAGATAATGTTGGAAAATACACAATACCAGATAATAGCAGTAATATGAAATGATTAAATAATGTTAGCGCAGTACTAATCCTTATGCTGTTTTGGTACATAATTTGACATTTTGATGTGTAATAGGAAAAGATGAGAGAACCAAAATGATATGAGGAGGAAAAAGAATTATAAAACACAATTGTGACGTTTCTCACATATCCCAACTCCTTTTACCAAAACAACTATAACTCTTTCATTTTTATTAGACATAATGTCATGATAGTTGCAGGATACAAATGTTATAATGTCATTCTACAATCTGTAGCAATTTCATTTCACAACAGGTAAATTTTTTGAAATTGGAGGATTAACCCTTATAAAAAATTCAACCTTGAAAGTCCGAATTTAAACCGTTGCACAATCATTGTACAATCATTGATCCGATCATTTATGCAACCATGCCAACCGTTACAATGCAACCATTACAATTTTGGTTGTAAACTCATTGAAAATGTTTCAATCATATGTAACCATTGTAAACGCTTGACAATTTTGATTGAATTTCTTGCAACCGTTTCAATCGAATGCAACCCTTTAAACCTATGGTAATATTATCTCAATGCAACATAAAATAATTATATTGCTCTTTAAAATATATTTTTCAAATGTATGTATTTCATGCATACATGTCAGAATTTAAATTTTTTTGATCAAAAAGATATTTAAAGTATTGCAATAGTTTAGTAAACTTGTCTTGTGAATGAAAATATATTGAACCAATTTCCATCTAACCTTGAAGGATGGTGATTGTCCCACTCGCATGTATATTATCTAGATAACAGCAATGCTAAGGCATAGCAAATCCCCTCGCTGTCATGACAATCATTTTTACAAAATCCCTTCACTACTTTTCAAGTTATTGCAAAAACTTTTGAAATAATTTTGATTGGGTCAAGTCTTGAATTTTACAAATTCAGACACTTATAACTTCACCTGAGTAATTATCACAATTATAAAGGAGGGAAGATCTGTCTGGAAGGAAGAAAGAAATCCTTCAATCAGAAAATAATTGATTTGATATTTTTGATTTGATAGAGAAAATGCAATCAGACATTACAGGATGTGTTTTAAATAATTAAGTCAATAAGCATAACTTAAAAAATTCTGATTACAGAAAGACTCAGTCTCTTTAGTTTGATTAGAGTCTGCTTTGAAGGATTTGTCTAAAGAAACTTTATTAATCCATAAACAAAACAAAAATAATTCGGCAAGGCAAACAAACCTTATAACAGAGAGACTCTCAGTTTGATTAGAGTCTGCTATAAAGGAAGCATCCTATGTAATTTAATTATTCCATACACAGAACATGATCAATAATTTGCCAAAGAAAATTTCCTTTATTTTCCTCCAGATTTTTTCAAGTTGAGAGTTTTGAAAAATAAGCCCTGTTTTTTTTAAATTTTTTAATCATTGACACATATTATTTAAACTGAAACTTGTAAATGCTATGCCCTAGTGAATACAGTAAAGCCATAAACTTTCAATTTATTGAATGCCCATGGTAAAAAAAACTAAATAAAAATGAAATAAAAAATTCTGAAAATAGTATTTGCAGTTTCATATACTTGCTATTTGAGATTTCTCAGCACTTGTTAAATTAATTGAATAAAGAAATAAATCCTCAAAAATCTGAAAACACTTTTCAAATTTTTACCCCCCCCCCCTCTCTGCATGAAATAGAGATTAAAAATATATATATAGTATAACACAATATGAAAATAAATA